GATCCTCTTATCAAACCCCTGTCTGGCTCACAGAAGTGGCTCTAAAACCCCTTCCCCGTGCTCTGGGGAGGGAAAGGGAGCCCTGAGTGTGCCCAGCCTGGCTGGAGCTGGGGGCTTGGTGAGGGCAGCAGGCAGAGCAGGAGGAGAGGAGTGGGGAAGCAGCTCCAGGGCTCCAGCCCCCATCCCGAAAGGAGTGTCCTGCCCAGGGAGATCCCCTGAGTGTCCCTGCAGGAGGGGTTTTCCAGGTCTGGCCTTGTTTGATCCTTTCTTTGCACTGTTAATTCCCGGATTTGTGGCTAAACCCGTGATTCCAGGGGGAAATGTTTTCCTGAATGGCACTGGAGAGAGCAGATTTAAGCCTGGCTTGGCCTCGTGCCCGCCTGTCACTGCTGGATAGAGGGGAAGAGAGCACGGAGCCACCTGGAAAATCCAGCAGGGAGAAGGGGAAAAGGAAGGAGAAAAGGCAGGAGACCTTGCAGGAGTTGACCAAACCACAGCACAAAATAAAACACCCAAATAAACACAACAAGCAAGAGGCTGTGAAGTTAAAAACAAAAAAGGAAATAAATTCTGATAATTGTGTTGCTCCAGGGATTTGGGACAGCTGCTCCTGGCTTTGGGAAGTCACGGACAGAGGCCGATTGTTGAACCAGAAAGGAACTTGCACACAAGGTTTCTCCAGCCCTCTGACCCATCACATTGATTTTTTAGGAAGTTTTGGCCCACTAGGGAAGTTCTGGAGGCCTGGCAAACACTGCGAGGTCAGTAATTAAAAGGGGGAGATTTTAAAGCACTACCAGGCTGTTGTCAGCTCCATAAAACCCAATTATATGGAGCTTCATTAAGAAGAAATTAAGGGAACAGAGAAGGGTTAATGGCAGCCAGAAGGGTTTAAGGCCAATGGAGTCTGTCAGGCAAAGCCAATCTCATTTTTTAGGATTATGAGCCATCTTTGCTATACCCATGTTGGCCTTGCCTGATGATTTGATTAATAAATTCCAACAATACCCATTCAGCATGGTTATGGCAGTGTCTGGGGAGAAGAAATAAATAAATCAACTTCTTGTGGACAGGCTCTCAAACGGGACAAAGTTTGTGTGGCAGCAAATAATGAGGACAAATCCCAGGCAGACGCCAGCAATGAATATTCATGTGAAGGTGACAAATGCCAGAGTCTGGGGACAAAGAGTGGAGCTTTTCTTACAATTTTGGGGACAAAGAGTGGAGCTTTTCTTAGGGAATGGAACATTTCATCCTGAGCAGAGCTGGAGGTGGTGGTGGGGAACCAGCCCGACATGAGGCTGGGGTGACAATGTGGCCAGCAGGGTTGGTGGCCCTGGGTGACACTGTAGCCAGCAGGGTTGGTGGCCCTGGGTGACACTGTAGCCAGCAGGGTTGGTGGCCCTGGGTGACACTGTGGCCAGCAGGGCTGGTGGCCCTGGGTGACACTGTGGCCAGCAGGGCTGGTGGCCCAGGGTGACACTGTGGCCAGCAGGGCTGGTGGGTGGCCCTGGGGGACACTGTGGCCAGCAGGGTTGGTGGCCCTGGGTGACACTGTAGCCAGCAGGGTTGGTGGCCCTGGGTGACACTGTGGCCAGCAGGGCTGGTGGCCCTGGGTGACACTGTGGCCAGCAGGGTTGGTGGCCCTGGGTGACACTGTGGCCAGCAGGGCTGGTGGCCCCGGGTGACGCTGTGGTCAGAAGGGCTGTGGCCCTGGGTGAGGCTGGTGGCCCCGGCTGACGCTGTGGCCAGCAGGGCTGTGCCTCAGGGTGACACTGTGGCCAGCATGGTTGGTGGCCCTGGGTGACGCTGGGGCCAAAAGGGCTGTCAGGGGAGAGTGCTGGGAGCTCCTGCTCTCCTTCCCAGGGATTGTCCTGTGCTGTCAGGGACATTGCTGGGGGCTCCAGCCCCCCTTCCCCTAGGATTGTCCCTGTGCTGTCAGGGACATTGCTGGGGACTCCAGCCCCCCTTCCCCTGGGATTGTCCCTGTGGAGTCCCCAGAGGAGCTGTGGAGGCTCTGCAGCGCTTCCCTGGGAACAGCTCCCGATCCAGCCCCAGATCAGGATCCACCCTGAGATTTTCACCCCCATTCCTCCCACTGCTGATGTGTCTCTGATTCCTGGTCCTAGGAATGCTTCTACAGATCCCCACGGTGACACTGGCAGAGGACACATCTCCTCCCTGGTGCCACATCCAAAGTGACACCGTGCTTGGGAAGCGGTGGGGAGAGTTGTGATCTCCATGTGAACGGAGGGAGTTGGAGCAGGAGTGTGGTGAGGAGAATTGCTGAGGGAGCTGGGAAGGGGCTGGAGAATTGCTGAGGAGCTGGGAAGGGGCTGGAGAATTGCTGAGGAGCTGGAAGGGGCTCAGCCTGGAGCACAGGAGGCTCAGGGGGCCCTTGTGGCTCTGCACAGCTCCTGCCAGGAGGGGACAGCCGGGGGGTCGGGCTCTGCTCCAGGGAACAGGGACAGGAGCAGAGGGAACGGCCTCAGGGGAGCCTCAGAGTGGGCACTGGGAAATTCCTCATGGAAAGGGCAGGGTGGAGTCCCCATTAGTGGTGGGATTTCACAGCCCTGTGGCTGTGGCACTTGGGGACATGGGGCAGTGGTGGCAGTGCTGGGCAATGGTTGGACTCTGTGATCTTAAAGGTCTTTTCCTACCTCAATGACTCCGAGTTTTCACCAGGCTCTCCTTGCTCCACCTGCGTTGTTCCAGTCCTGGAGCCTCATTCTGGGGAGTTCTTTTATTTCTTTCTCATTTCATTAAGTGACAATAGAAGTGTCCCTGCCCTTGGCAGGGAGATTGGAACCAGATGATCTTCAGGGTCCCTTCCAAGCCCACCCATTCCATGATTCCACTTTATTTACACCAGCAGCGTTCCACCCCCACAAGCAGGGCTGAGGGAGGCCCAGGTGTGCTCCCACAACCGAAAATTCCATTTATATCTCAGAAGGTGAAACAACAAAAGCAAAGGCAGAGCCCTCGGTGGTGTCACAATCTGGGATTCCTGCTCTCCATCCCGCTGTGGCACTCCCGTGCAAGGACAGCACCTGATAAGGTGTGCTGGGAACGGGACATTCCAGCGCTGTTTTCCCCCAAAAAACTGATAACAGCAACAACCAGCTGCTCCCAAAGGGAGCCACATGGGCAGCGAGGAGACCTTGGCACCCAGGGGTGCTCCTGCAGGACATCCTGCCGCTGGTTTTGGAGGAGGAGCCGCTGTGCCCGGGGATCCCACAGCTCCCGGGAGTGCACGGCAGGGGCTGGGACGGGCAGGAGCGGCCCCGAGGCGGATCGGGGTCCGCAGGAGCTCCTTCTGCCGGGGACAGGGGAGCGAGTGTCCCTGGAACAGTCCCGGGGGGAGAGGGTGGCTGGGAGCGGCTTTGAGATGGGGCTGAGCACTGCCGACTTCGGGCAGGGGGTTTGTCACAGAGCCCGGACACCCTGACCCCTGAAACAGAGCTGTGGGAGCTCCTGAGCTTTGGGGTTAACTCCAGCCAGGGATTTGTCACAGATCCTGGACACCCTGACCCTGGAACAGAGCTGTGGGAGCTCCTGAGCTTTGGGGTTAACTCCAGCCAGGGGTTTGTCACAGAGCCTGGAATAGAGCTGTGGGAGCTCCTGAGCTTTGGGGTTAACTCCAACCAGGGGTTTGTCACAGATTCTGGACACCCTGACCCTGGAACAGAGCTGTGGGAGCTCCTGAGCTTTGGGGTTAACTCCAACCAGGGGTTTGTCACAGAGCCTGGACACCCTGACCCTGGAACAGAGCTGTGGGAGCTCCTGAGCTTTGGGGTTAACTCCAACCAGGGGTTTGTCACAGAGCCTGGACACCCTGACCCTGGAACAGACCCGTGGGAGCTCCTGAGCTTTGGGGTCAATTTCAAGCCGCTTTGGAGTCAATTTCAAGCCGCTTTGGGGTCAATTTCAAGCCGCTTTGGGGTCAATTTCAAGCTGTTTTGGAGTTAATTTCAAGCCGTTTTGGAATCAATTTCAAGCCGTTTTGGAATCAATTTCAAGCCGCTTTGGGGTCAATTTCAAGCCGTTTTGGAGTCAATTTCAAGCCGCTTTGGAGTTAATTTCAGTGGTTTGTCACACAGCCCGGACACCCTGACCCCTGGAACACAGCTGTGGGAGCTCCTGAGCTTTGGGGTCAATTTCAAGCCGTTTTGGAGTCAATTTCAAGCCGCTTTGGAGTTAACTTCCCGTGCCCCGGAGCCGCCCCATTCCCTCATGCCATGGAACAGCCAGGGTGCCCAAGCCGGAGTTCCCGAGCCTTGGGGTAAAATGCCGGGAGCAGGCGGCCGGGGAAGCTGCACCTTCCTCGGCTGTGGGGAAGGGAAGGGGCAGCAGGTCAGGAGTTTGGGATTAAAGGGAGGCTGCGCCCTCCGAACCCCCGAGAGAGGAAACCGGTGAACTGTCCCTTTATCCCAATAAAGCTGCAGGACCCCGGCGTTTCCCAGCGGGATTTCCCACACTCTTTGGGACTGCAGTCACCTTTGCATCGCTCATGGGGCTGAGGGACAGGGTGGGACAGGAGGAGCAGGGGGGCAGCGACACGGCTTCTCTCCTGCTGGGGTGGCACGGTGGTGTCACTGCACGGGGCTGTGTCCTCTCACGGGGGGGACACGGGGACAGTGCCATGGGCTGTGTCCTCTCATGGGTAGAACACGGGAACTGCCATGGGGCTCTGTCATTCCCAGAGCTGTCCAAGCCATCTGGCTCTGTCCTCACGGTAAGGACACGGGGCTGTGTCCCCTTCACGGGCACGACAGCACCGCCACAACCTCCCGCCGGCTCCGCCCGTCCCGGGGCCGCCCTGCTCCGTCCCTCCCTCCCTCCCTGGGCGGAGCGGCCGCGCAGGCCCGGCCCCCTCCGGCACTACATCCCCCATGGTGCCGCGCGGCCCGACCCCGCTCCCGCACTACATCTCCCGTGGATGCTCGCGCGGCCCGGGCCCCTCCCGCACTACATGTCCCGTGGTGCCCTGCGCGCGGCGGAGCGGGGCCGAGCAGCCCCGGCGGTGCCGCTGGCGGCCGGGCCGGGCGGGGCTGCGCAGGTGGAGCGGCCCCACATCCATGGAGCGGCCGAAGATGGCGGAGCTGGAGAGCCTGGAGACGGCGGCGGAGCACGAGCGGATCCTGCGCGAGATCGAGAGCACCGACACGGCCTGCATCGGCCCCACGCTCAGGTGCGGCAGCCGCGGCGGGGAGCGGCGGGGAGCACGCGGGGGGTGCTCCCGGCGGGGCTGTGCCGGAGCTTCCCTGGGAACGCCGCTCGTGCCCTTTGTCAGCCGGTGTCGCCGTAGTGTCGGTGACCCCGGGCTCCTTTGTTCTCCGGCAGCCGCTGCCCCCGGGGCTGCCCGCTGCCCCCGGGGCTCGCCCCTTCCCCGCCGCGTCCTTCCCGTGCCCCGGAGCCGCCGTTCTCGTGGGGCGCGCCCTGGCCCCGCCGTGGTGTCGGTGTGACCCTGCGTGCGCGGAGGAACCGCCCGATTTTCTTCCAAAACGCGGTTGTTTTGGGTCTCTTCCCCCCGTCCTGTCGCGTCCGCCGCTCCGAGCCAGCATCGAGGCGCTGCGATGATTTCCCCCGCCCCGAAACTCAGCCGTCCTTCCCCGCCCTGGCCGTGCCGCAGGAGTTCTCCCCGGGACTTGGGGTGCCCGCTGCGTTCCGGCCGCTCCCGGTGCTCGGGGGCATTGCCAGCTCCCCCGGCAGCGCTGCGAGGTGCCGGGGTTAAAATGCCAGCGGAACCTGCCTTATCTCCGAGCTCGGCCGGGGCTGCGCTCCGTGCCGCCTCCGCGGGGAATTTGGGGTTGCAGCTGCTGCGCATCGGCCCCAGCTGGGGAGGGCTGCGGGCGTTTCTGTGCCTCCGGCTCCCCCCGGAGCAGCTCCCGGGGCCTCCGTCCGAAGGCTCGGAGCGCTGGGGCTTGCAGTGATGCTGCAGCGCTGGCACGGAGCTGGGGAGGGAAAGTTTGGGATTTGTGGAGCAGCAGAGCTCTGGGTTCGCTCCAGGATTGCCATTCCCTCCTTCCAGCATCACCCATTCCAGCACTGCCCATTCCCTCATGCCAGCACTGCCCATTCCCTCATGCCAGCACTGCCCATTCCCTCATGCCAGCACTGCCCATTCCCTCATTCCAGCATTGCCCATTCCCTTATTTCTTCATTCCAGCATTCCCTCGTTCCAGCACTGCCATTCCCTCATTCCAGCATTGCCCATTTCCTTATTCTTTCATTGCCCATTCCCTCGTTCCAGCAGTGCCATTCCCTCATTCCAGCACTGCCCATTCCAGCACTGCCTGTTCCCTCGTTCCAGCATTGCCCATTCCCTTATTTCTTCATTCCAGCATTCCCTCATTCCAGCATTGCCCATTCCCTCATCCCAGCACTCCCGTTCCAGCACTGCCCATTCCCTCATTCCAGCATTGCCCATTCCCTTATTCTTTCATTGCCCATTCCCTTATTTCTTCATTCCAGCACTGCCCATTCCCCCATTCCAGCATTGCTCGTTCCCCCATTCCAGCACTGCCCATTCCCTGGTTCCAGCATTGCCCATTCCCCCATTCCAGCACTGCCCATTCCCTTATTTCTTCATTCCAGCATTGCCCATTCCAGCATTGCCCATTCCCTCGTTCTAGCACTGCCCATTCCAGCACTGCCCATTCCCTCGTTTATTCTGGAATTCTTGCACTTTTCTTCCTGGAGTTCTCCCGTGAAGCTTCTCAAGGTAAACTGAGCAGTGGGAATGGGATTTGTTATCCTGCAGGAGCTGGTTTGGATGGGTGGGAGCTGCCACGCTGAGGAGTGTGGGTGGTTTTTTTTTCCATTTCAGAGGACAAAAAGTGCAGCTGATCTCGTTTCTTGATATTAAAGTTAGCTGAGGAGTTGGGTTTGGTGTGGAGCTTTGAATTCCCACAGGAGAAACACCTGGAGTGTCCAGGCTGGGAGAGGCTGGGGTTTAATTCATTCACTGCTGGATGTGGGGACAGTTAATTAAAATTAATGATCAGCAGGGATGGCAGAGTTGAACTGGCCCGGCTCAGGGTAAACACCAGAGACAGGAAGAGAGGATGGTGGAAACTTTTATTTTTTCAATAAAAGTGACTCATTTCTTGTGGGCATCATGGAATAACTGTGTGTCCAGGAGCCAGGCTGGCTGCCCTTCTGGGAACAGCATTCTGGGCCAGGCTGGAGTGCTGGGGCTTGGTTTGCAGAACTGGGCTTTTATTGATGCAGAACCGGGATTTTATTGGTGCAGAACTGGGATTTTATTGATGCAGAACTGGGATTTTATCATTTCATTTGGTTTACAGAACTGGGCTTTTATTGATGCAGAATTGGGCTTTTATTGATGCAGAAGTGGGATTTTATTGATGCAGAAGTGGGCTTTTATTGATGCAGAACTGGGCTTTTATTGATGCAGCACTGGGCTTTTATTGATGCAGAATTGGGCTTTTATTGATGCAGAAGTGGGATTTTATTGATGCAGAAGTGGGCTTTTATTGATGCAGAACTGGGCTTTTATTGATGCAGCACTGGGCTTTTATTGATGCAGAACTGGGCTTTTATTGATGCAGAACTGGGATTTTATTGATGCATAACTGGGCTTTTATCAGTTCCTTTGGTTTCCAGAAGTGGGATTTTATTGATGCAGAAGTGGGATTTTATTGATGCAGAACTGGGCTTTTATTGATGCAGAATTGGGCTTTTATTGATGCAGAAGTGGGATTTTATTGATGCAGAAGTGGGCTTTTATTGATGCAGAACTGGGCTTTTATTGATGCAGAATTGGGCTTTTATCAGTTCCTTGGGTTTCCAGAACTGGGATTTTATTGGTTCTTTTTGGTTTCCAGAATTGGGCTTTTATTGATTCCTTTGGTTTGCAGAATTGGGATTTTATCAGTTCCTGACCCCCTTGGTTTGCAGAATTGTGCTTTTTTTTTGGTGCAGAATTGGGTTTTTATCCGTTCCTGATCCCTTTGGTTTGTAGAATTAGACTTTTAATGGTGCAGAATGTGGCTTTTATTTGTTCCTGTGGTTTGCAGAATTGGGCTTTTATTGTTGCAGAATTGGGCTTTTATAATTTCCTGACCCCTTTGCTGTGCAGAATTGGCATTTTATTGGGATTTTTGGTTTCTAGAATTGTGTTTTTATTGGTTCCTTTGGTTTGCAAAATTGTGTTTTTATTGGTTCCTTTGGTTTGCAGAATTGGCATTTTCTAGGTTCAGAATTGGGTTTTTGTTGGTTCCTGACCCCCTTGGTGTGCAGAATTGTGCTTTTTTTGGTGCAGAATTGGGTTTTTATTGGTTCATGACCCCCTTGGTGTGCAGAATTGGGTTTTTATGAGTTCCTGACCCCCTTGGTGTGCAGAATTAGCATTTTATTGTTGCAGAATTGGGCTTTTATCTGTTCCTGGCTCCCTGGGGACCTTCCCGGGGCTGGGTGGGAGCTGGGGGTCCAGCCCTTGATGTGGGTGGGTGGCCTGGGTCCCTGGCAGCAGGGTGGCACATGCCAGGGGCACGGACTGCTGCCAGGAGGGGACTCCTGGGGGTCCCTGCCAGCCCTGCTGCTGTGGGGGGAGCACCCAGCCCTCCTGGGGACGGGAATTGGGGACCCCAGGGGGGGAATTGGGGGCACTGGTGGGGCTCTGGAACCCCACTGGGGGAATTGGGGACCCCTCTGGGGGACACTGGGGATGCCAGTGGGGGAATTGGGACCTGTTAGGGGACACTGGGGACCCCGCTGGGGGGCACTGGGGATCCCACTGGGGGAATTGGGGACCCTGCTGGGGGGCACTGGGGATGCCAGTGGGGGATTGGGGACCCTGCTGGGGGCACTGGGACCCCGATGGGGCACTGGGGACCCCTCTGCAGGCAGTGGGACCTTGCTGGGGCAATAGGGACCCTGCTGAGGGACACTGGGGACCCTGCTGGGGGCACTGGGACCCCTCTGGGGGAATTGGGAACCCTGTGGGGGGCTCTGGGACCCCTGCTGGGGGCACTGGGACCCCTCTGGGGGAATTAGGAACCCTGCTGGGGGCACTGGGACCCCACTGGGGGCATTGGAACCCTGCTGAGAGAATTGGGGACCCCTGATGGGGCACTGGGACCCTGCTGGGGAAACTGGGGACCCCTCTGGGGGAATTGGGGATATAATATAGATATATTATATATATTATATATATAAATATTTATATATTTTATATATATATATATTATAAAAATATATATAAAAATATAGACATATTTTAAATATTTTTTAGTATTATACATCAGAAAAAATCTTTATAATAAAAATGTTTGAAGACCTTTTAGGGGAGAACCAGCTCTGGGTACCTGTGATACCCAAGTGCTCTCATTTCTCTTCTGTTTAATTGAAGTTTGTTGCTCTTTCTGTCCCCTTGAGCTGAGTTTTTTATTTCTTTTTGTGTTCCATATTACAAAAGCTGTTTGTATTATTTTTAGTCAGCGCTGGCCTGTGCTGTTGCAGCTCTGCTCACTGGGTGGTGACAGTGGGGTTTCCTTGTGGCACCCCAAAAAACGGGGGTAAAACCTCCCCCATTTCCCTGCAATGAGAGCTGTCCCTGTAATATCTGAATTTAAAACCACTTGAAAGCAGTTTCAGCAATGTAAAAGCAGTTTTTATTTGCCCCCTGGGGACGTTCTGCTGTCCTTCACCACCTGGTGTCACCTCCTGGCTCAGGCTGAGCCTGGATTAAATCACTTTTTAATCCTCTCTGCTTCAGCAGCTCAGGGTTTATTTCCAGGTGATTCTTGTAATTCCCTGTCTGATTCCCTGACATTTTTGTCCTCTGGCAATGATTTCCAGGTGATTCTTGTAATTCCCTGCCTTTTTTGTCCTCTGGCAATGATTTCCAGGTGATTCTTGTAATTCCCTGCCTTTTTTGCTGACATTTTTGTCCTCTGGCAATGATTTCCAGGTGATTCTTGTAATTCCCTGTCTGATTCCCTGACATTTTTGTCCTCTGGCAATGATTTCCAGGTGATTCTTTTAATTCCCTGCCTGATTCCCTGCCTTTTTTTGTCCTCTTCAAATGATTTCCAGGTGATTGTTGTAATTCCCTGCCTGATTCCCTGCCTTTTTTTGTCCTCTTTAAATGATTTCCAGGTGATTGTTGTAATTCCCTGCCTGGTTCTGTGACTTTTGTGTCCCCTGGCAGTGATTTCCAGGCGA